GAACAAATTTTTTTGAGATTCCAGATCTTGACGTTCTTGAGCAAGACTCGACAATTCAAACGGAAGTTCAAACTGAAATACCAGTCTTAGAGTGGCATATGCAGATCGCCTTGTGACATCATAAATATTGCCATATTGAAAAACAATATCTTTGAAATCAATATTATCAATTACTGCAACATTCCAAATATTTGGTCCTTTTATTAATTTTATTAATGGATTATATTTACTAATATGCTCTTTTTCTAATACTGTTTCGTGTTTCCATGTATAGGACGTTATATATACCGAATGAAGTATTGCTTGCAAGGAAGAAATCAATTTTGGTCGCTTGCATAAGGAAGTCATAGTAAAAGTAAGCCATATTTTCCATGAACGAAAGGTGATTGTTAAAATAATTGATGCAAAAAATGCCGTTATTTTTTTTATTGGTTCTTTATGAAATTTTGATTCTTTTTGCCCACGCTGTTTTTGTTTTCTTTCTCTAACTGCTTCTTTATGTTTTTCAATAGACTCAACTAATCCATCAAAAAAGTTGGTAAGCGCTAAAGGAAAGCTGTTATAATATTCATCTAATGAATTCAGATTTTTTAAACTTTTACGATGTTGCTCAATATCTTTACGTAAGTTACATATAAAACTTCCTAATGCTTCTCCATGCTGTCTGTATTCATCTGCTTTTACATATTTTTTATCTGTAAATAAATAATAATCGAATGCATTAATCTTCATAGCAGTTTTTACGAGTAGTGGACTAGGTAAACAATTTGTTGTATTTGTAGAGGATAACTCATTTGCGTTTTGATTTTCTAATAATGTCATCATATGCAACACTACTTCTTTTTTTTGATTTTCATTTTCAGAATATGAAAGATTTGACAACCACCGTGAGAATAATTTTAAAACTTGGTTAGTATCATCTTTACATAAGTCGTTTTTAACACATGTTTGAGACTGTTTTCCTTCATGCTTATGAATATGTTCACCATTACTTTCAAAACACTTTGCACAGATATATTGGATGCAATAGCCATTAGCAATTCTTGAAGAGATGTTTGTAATTTCTTTAAAAGCAGGACACGATTTTAAACTGACACATAGTACTTGAATATTTCTTCTGCATATACTCTAATTATGTTCTCCACAATCATCACCTCTATTAAAGAAGTTTTTATATTTATTACAGAGTAAACATTTTTTTATTTTAATTACACTCTGACTAGGGCCTCTAATTTGTTTAGCATGAGACGAGTGAAGTTTATTTTGATCAAAATTAAAATGGCTAGAACAGACGCCTAAGGTAGCTATGTTAAAATTTTCTTTCTGCGTTAATTCTATTTCCCAAGTTTCAACTAATTGAGATACTGATCTTAGATTATTAATTGAATTACAGCGCCTAATTTCTCCTTTTAAATTATCAATAATAACACAAGGTGATCGTTGATTTTCTTCTATATTTAAAAATTGGCGATCTATATGCTCATCTTCAGATAATGAATTTTCACTATCATCATCATATTCTATTATTTCTGAAGAATCTTGTTCTTCTAACCAATGTTTTGCCTTCATAGCAGCCAAATAATCATGAATGAATAATGGTTCATCTTGGTCAGTACTGAAACTTTTATCAAAATCTTTATCCGTAGAATAATCATAGTAATTCTCCATTTTCAATAACGAAACAAGGTTTTGCTAAAAATTTAAAGAGAAGTATTTTTTGCAAATATTTGTAATTTGTTGGTAACGGCAGATGGAGAATATTCGTGCTATTTATATATAATCAAATTGACTAATTTTATAATTTACTTTAGTTGTGAAATGATCAAATTTTGCATATCACAATTTACATATGCAATTACTTGATTGTCATTGATTGTGCAATTTTAAAGTGATCGTTTTATTGTGGTTTACAAAATGTGAAATTTAAAAAAAAAGTAATCCTAATTTCTGGTTACTGATCTCTGATTTCTTCATTTTTTTTGACTTTTAGACTGGACAAAATTTGCACATTTATCATTTGCAAAAATTTGATTGGATATTTTAATGCACAACATCTAGTATTGCAAATATATGGGGTCTTTACCTTGAAAATCACCTTCTGACATTTTCGATTAGATTAATTCAGACAAAAATAAACCTGAGTACTAGTTCATATTTATATGTTAATCATCTTTTAACTTTATTGATTCAATTCAATAGTTTATCGAATAACTATTGAACCAATATAAAAGATGATTAACATATGAACATGACCCTATAGGAAATATCGGAAGGAGATTTTCAAGGCAAAGACACCATATTACAAAATGATTAATAAGCATAGAACCAGGGATAATCATTAATCGATTAGACCGGTTATAATCAACTAATTAGATACGCAAAATTTTGTCTAATCTAAAAGTCAAAAAAAATGTTAAAGAAATCAGAAACTAGTAATTATTTTTTTTATGATCTTTAAATTTCACATAATTTTGCAAACCGCAATAATCAAAAATTTAATACAAGTAAAATAATCAATCAGGCAACAATTGGGTAATTATACATACAAGCTGCGATATGCAAAATTTGATCAAAGATACATCATTCTGTAAACCATAATAAATAAAACTTTTTGAATGAAGAGCAAATAAAATTTTATAATGGTTTTAAAATACAAATTTTATGCATATTACTCTGTTTAGATTTTGTGTGCTTTCAAACAAAGACCTTTTTATTACATATTCACAGCTATCAGAAGTATAACATATCGTAACGAATTAAAAAAAATCAAATAAAATTTATAACTATATTATAATATTTGATTCAAAAAATGTATTTTATTTTTTTTATTTATTACAAAAAAGAAAATAAATAAAATCAAATTATCACTATAATTAATTATTTTATTCATATATAATTTGAAATAAAATTATATATAGTTAATTTATAAATGAGAATATAATGACACATCGATTGAATAATATATCATTTCCGCCTTTTTTGACAAATTCTCATTGAATGGTGTTAAATATACCCAGTGCAAGTTTGCCTTCCTCAACCCTTAGGCCATTCCCACAAATAATAACATCAAACTCACCAAGTAATTATTGTTTTTTTCAGTTACATGAAGCCCAAACTTTAAAAAAAAAATAATAATACTATATAGCACGGACTATAATACACCACATCAAAGTACCTCTATAAAAATTTTTCACAGTCGAATGCAAGATACCCGGGTACTTTACAGAGTGAACTACCCGGGTATTAACTAAGTAGCATATGTCATTGCTAAGTAAATACACTTCTTATATAATACCTGGGTACTAACTTGGATTGTAGCTGTAGAATGTATAGTATCCGGGGTACTATAGTCTGTGCTGTACAGTATTTAACCAAAAAAAACAGTACAATGCAAAAAAAAAAAACTGATATTAGACCAGTTCCAAGTCATAGCATGTCCCATTCCCAGTGCTAACCTCATATGAAACCTAAGCTACAAAAAAAAAATTAGTTTTAACCAAAAAAGAAAGAAAAATAACACAATGCAGTAGGAAAAAATTGATAATTAGACAATTCCAAGCCAATCGTGTTCAATTTCATTGCCCGGTGTTAGTTTCACATTGAAATCCATCCTAAAAAAAAAAATTAGTTTCAACCAAAATAAAAGAAAAAAAAATATTAAACAAGAGAAAATGAAACTAGTACTTGTAATTAGACCAGTTCCAAATTCTAGCCATATCTGATATTCCAATCCATTGCCCGATGCTAATCTCATGTCAAAACCCAATCTACAAAAAAAAGAGTTAGCTTAATCAGTTCAAAGTTCCTAGCCGCTTGTCCAGTACTAACTTCACAGTAAAGCTAAATTTACAAAAAAATTTAGGTTTGATAGAAATAAAACAAAAAAAATATATATATATATATAGATGCTTTTTGTATTGGCAAAGAGCTACCTGCTACAAGAAAAAGAATTAGTTTCAACTAAGAGAAAAAATGAACATATAAAAAACAGAACTATTTTAGATCAGTTCCTACCACATCCAATTTCTAATGTCTAATGCAAATTCGAAACTCAAGCCTACAAAAAAAAGTGTTTGTTAGTTTCAGACGAGAAAAAGAAAAAAAACGTAATATAAGAAAGAAAAATAAAAATATTAGACTAGCTTTCGGCAATGTTTGATCTCCATTATCTGTAAGATCGATCTCTATTACCTGCAAGATCTTAAAGATCTTAAAAGATTTTACTTATAGTAATAAGCAAATCTTGATGAAAGTGGTTTGGAGAAGCGTAATTATAACAGAGCAGTGTTTTAATTCCAAAACTTCTGTGTAAGTATTGGCTAGTTACTGCGTTTTAAAGATTCTTTATATTTTTGTTAGTATTGGAATTCCAAAAGATTATCAATCTTTGAGTCCAAGATCCTTTTCCGTTTACATATAAGTTTTATTTCAAATTTTCATTATTGATAAAAAAAAACTCGTGAAATAATGTTACTTATAATGATATTTTTGTATCTCTCGAGAGTCATGTGGTTCACTTAAAAGCAAATAAAATTTTTCGAAAAATTTCATAGTAAATTTTCGAAATGTGATCTACATTTTTACTATGATTGGACACTCATATATGCGATCATGTGACATCTTCCCTGACTGATATATACATACGTATGTTATACAAAAATTACTATGTAGAGGTAGCAATACGTTAGATTTACTACGTAAAAGATTTACAATCTGATTTGTATTACTATTAGATGTTCAACTTAATCAAGTACTTGATTATCAAGTTTTTACTTGATTTTGCCAAGCACTATATAGTATTAAAAGGAGCAAATCAATATATATATAGTTATATCTCTGGATCTTATTCAAAAAACAAGCTAGTAAGATGGTGAATACATAATACCCGGATCTTTTGAAGGATACTTTATCATAAGCAGTGGCATACGGTATTAAGGTGTTCAATATACAGTTAGATCTTTCTAAATGCACTTTTCAGAAACCAAACTTTAACAATATGCACTTAGAGAACAATAAAAAAAAGTGTATTTATAAAGGTTATATATATATTTGGGCCGGAACTCAAGTGTGTTTAGAGAGGCTGTGTATTTATAAAAGATGCATTTAGAGAGATCTCACTATAATAATAATAATAAAATTATTAGAAAGCTATAATAATAGGACAAAATTAGAATTAACTTTACTCTTTACAAAATGTATTGTAGTACATATAATTATAGTGCTAAGGAAGATAAGGAATTGATTGCTTTAAAATAAAATAAAAGCTTTATCTAAAGTTAACATAATGTATAAAAATTTTTAGATTTATTTATCTTTGGAAAATGCAAATATTATATCTGGGTATATCTGAATAGTTAACCAGGTATATAGTGTTTTTTGACCAAGTACAATAAGTCTAACCCCGAACCTTTTTAAAAAAATCGGGTAATTCTGTCTCTAAAAATAGAAATAGCAATCATAATCACGTACATAAAATATTATTGGTTAATTTGAAATACCGAATTTTCAAATTTTCAATACACGAGAAACCATTATTTATAAACACATTCTGATTATGTACGTACACACGTAGGCAAAATATTTTAAACCAGTTTGGTATATTGGGTATAGAGAGGTGATTATGAAATCAGCCTTTTTTTAGTTATTTTATTTATACATCATTCAAAAAATAAAAATGTAACAACACCTAACCTATCTATAGGAGCAGAATAAAAGGAGCATAACCAAATAGGCCAAATATTTTTTTGTACTCAAAGAACCCTATCATTCAGATAATAGTTGCGTCTGATCATGCTAAAAACAACATTAAATAGTGATAGGACTTGATCACCAAAACAAATTCTTAACCTTTTCTTATTTAAGAATTTAAGAAGTATTTAATAATAACAATACCCTTACATAGAAGGTTATTACTAAGATAACTAACTATTCCAAATAGTTTAAAGATAACTGAAGTTCTTATAACCAAAAGAGGTAGTTTTACAAAATTATTTATTTAAACTAGTCAGTATTTTTTTTAGTACCCATGTTTGTAATTTGTTGTTTTGAGTAATTTTTTATTTTTATAGTATTAGGTTTAAAAATTTTTATTTATTAAGAAAGTGTGAAATTGTATTAAAAGAATTGATAGATTAATTTATAATATTATTATTAGTTATTATATAGAGTTTTTGTTTTGAAAATTATTTTTTGATATTTTTGATTGTATTAATTTAGATAAAGATATATTTAAGTATTGGTTTATGTTTATATGTTAATTATTTTTTAATTTATTAATTCAATTTAATAGTTTATTGAATTATTATTGAATTAATGTAAAAGATGATTAAACTATAATTATGAACTGGTATTTGGGTTTATTTTTGTTTAAATTAATTTGATTAGAAATGTTAGAAGGTGATTTTTAAAGTAAAGATTTTATATTTTAATTATTATATTATAGTTATAATAGTTAAATTTTAATTTTGGTTTAAACAAATTAATTTTTGATTTTTTTTATTTTGGTATTTTTGAAAATTTTTTTTTATTAAAGATAATAAGTTGTAAGTTGATTGGTTGATGTTTTGTATTGATATTTGAAATTTATAGAAAGGTATTATAGAAGTTTATTTTGATTAGTTATTTATTTTGTTTTAAATGTATTGTTATATAAGTTTTTATATTAGTTT